CCTGTCCCATCAGCTGAGTTGAATATGAGAAATAATGCCAGCAAATAATTGTATATTAAATATTGTGTGTGCCAAAGCGATTTTAGGTGACAGCATCCAACTTAACATGAAAATACAAAAAGGTATTGAAATATTTGCTACTTTGAGTCTTGACTTTTGTTCATCACATGTAACGGCACCACTTACTAATCAGGCAACTTTTATAGAAGGTTTGTAAATAGTAACCAATGGCCTTTTTAAGGATTCATAAATGTAACTTTGGGGTGCCAGATTTTAAAAACTGCAGAGTGTCTGGGCCACAATCCACATTTTAACAACTTACTAACGTTTACAACCATAGAGCTGATGAACTGTTGTATGAGTGCATCAGTAATGTTTCATCATTATTGCTTTTGTTTATGGTTTATTAAAAAGTGAGTATTTATCATAAATGGTTCCCTAGTTGGTATCATCAGTGGCTTATAAAAGAGCTATAGAGAAAAGTTATTGACCATTAATAAAGCCACTAATTAAAATTTATAACCCATTTTCAAAGGCTGCTTTATTAGAAAATAATACCTGTATACTTAAGTCAGGATGCTGACTTTTTTTTTTTTTTTTATATATAAAAGGTTCACAAATTCAATTGTTCAGTTTAACAAAAACATTCTTCTGCAATAAAAATTGCACCTGCATAACAATAAAGGTTTAAAAACAATGATACCTCTAACAGGATCACTTTCAGATAAGATATGGAGCAAAGATGAAAAGTTGAATGTGATTACATTACATAATCTGATCAGGTGATGAGTAAGATTTTTAATGCCAAGTATTGATTAGTCCACAATATTAAGTGACAGTTGACATCCATATGGATAAGCGAATTGCTCCCTAATATAACGGCACAAGGAATAAGGTGTATGTGGTTACATGGTGATTGAGCTGCATGATAGTGATGTTAACCACATGCCAAAGCTTCCTATGAGAGTCTGAAGTCTGAATACATGTTGAAGAGGTGAGAGATGACTGTAGGGGTTTATACCTCAAAAGATCAGCTGAGCTCTGCTGGCAGACAGTGGGTCCATCATTATAAATCATGGATGGATTATGAGAGAATTGGCCCCTGGGCACAAACATATGAAAGCCCCCCCACCCCTCCTATATAGGACTCTCAGACTGAAAGAGACGCAAAACGACTACCAACGATACACCTCTTTTTTTGCGTCTCTTTGTGGTCATATTGTGTCTTTTAACGGAGCTCTCTGACCTTTAAACAAGAAATATGAACCGTCACTTTATGCAGAGACTCTGGCACAAGAGCACCCTGACCTCCTGGTCCTGTACCAATAGGCTTTGTTTGGTAATCTTCCCATGTTACAAATGCATGGTGTGCAGATAAGCATTGTTAAAACACCCACAGAACATTGTGTATTCTGGTTAAAATCCTAAAGCGTATGAAGAAAATTTGGATAAAACATTTATAAAATGATTCATCTGACCATAATATTGTTTCCATTTGATCTTACAATTTAGTCATAAAAGACATGGTCTTAATATTCTAGTGTTGGAAGCAGATATGACAACGTGCGTAAATGTTTTTCAACTGTTTTTAAAAGGAAACAGGAAAGAAAGAAAAAGAAAAGAAAACTTGTTTCAAGAAGTTGAAGTAAATTATGAAATCTAAATGATAACACAATAGGTTGATGTGATTTCTGGTTAACATACACTGTATATCACATACAAATCCTGGTGAGTACCTAAAGGTCTACTCTCATCCGAGGAGCAATTATGACCGACAGAAAGTTAGTGTAATAAATTTCGTTTTAAAACACAAAATGACACTGTGTAGGGACTTCGGCCTTACATTTTATTACAGGCCACAACATAAATCCTGACTTGTCCAACACAGGTGTTACTAATAAGATTAACGATGGCTGCATTCAATTTAGTGTTTTAGTGCCAGGGCTCTGTTGTGTGTACTGGCTCACTTACAGGGACAACCAAATGGAACAGTGCATCATTACTGTTAATGGTAACACCTGTGCTGCACAGAGAAAGGCCAATTAGATTGATTAGATTGATTCGAAATAACGTGGCTTTATCTCCCTATTCTTACTATGTGGACATGACCGACAAGACAGTTGGACAAAGACAAAGCGTAAAGTAACGGTGTGGGTGGATCCTAGGTGAAGTGGTCTGACCGAGTTTTACAATCATTTCGCCACAAGAGGGCGCCCTTCCCCTACTGAAAAAAACAGGTGGGGGGTTTCCCTCTGGACAAGGTAAGCATCCCTCCTTGCGTCCAACAGCAGGGGTGCCAAAAAATGAAGCGAGGAAAAAGCCGGAGGCTGACATTTTCTCCAGGGTGTCCGCCGCAGGGAACCCAGCGCCGAGAGCCCCGGGCTTTCAACAAACAGACCACTGAGACTTGTTTTGCAGACAAAATCAGCTCACTGATCCAAGTGCAACAACTCTAAAGGACCGAGGAGAGCTCCCCGCTTGAATCCCAACTGACAGCAAGTGAGTGTGTTGCCTGTTGTTGGTCTTGCTTTCTTTCATTCTGTCTTTAACGCAGTCTAATCTCTCCCGCTTGTAATTGGAGAGATAATCTACCTAGATTAGTGCCTTGCTGGCGGAGCTTCTTTATTTCACAGAAATGCGTCAGTGTTGGCACCTCTCTGGAAAAATGCATGTACATGGGCCATACTGTCAGTGTTTGAATAGACAAAGCTGTATGACTGCTGGAGACATTATGCAGCTGAGTGAAGGGTGAAGCTGACAGTAGAATATCTCAGTTTGTTGTCCTGTTACTGAACCAAAGATTTACAGTATTATGTTCAATTCCAAGAAACTCTGAAAATAATTGTCTCAGTTAAAACTTCAGCATTTAATTGGAAACAGGAAAGAAAATAGCTAGGATAATAAAAATAAAGACCAGGGGCCAATGAAAAAAAAAAGAGCAGAATAATTAGAAAACTGATTTAGACTTCTTGTAAACCCACGACAAAGTTTTTGAGAGGAGAAAAAAATTGCAAATGAATAATTGGTCTTAGACAAATAAAAGAATAAAGTGAATGGAGAGGAGGCCAGAGGAGCAAAAGGAGTAATAACAATAAATACCAATGGAGGCAGATAAATGTGCAGAGATGAGAATTTGAACGTTGTAATTCTTTTTATCCTACTGCACAATATTTCATAGCTTCACACTTCATTTATCCTGGCTCCAGTTTTATTAATTAAATTGATTTTATCTTTGTTGAACTGGCACCAGTTTGTGTTTAAATCCAATAACCGGCCGCGTCATTTTCTTCTGTCCCATTCTGCTCATTGACATGTTAATTACTATTGGCTGCAGGTGTGCTCCGATATAGGTGTCACACACGCGCGCATGCGCGCACAGATGCACAGATTTGGGGTTAATACTTATTATTTTCAGTTATCCGCGGGTTTGAATACATGTTTAAACGGTCTTTGTTTTGAGATTAATTATTGGAATAAAAGCACCAAAACGCAGCTCGGTCCCGGGCCGGACCGGGCCGAGCAGAGCCGGGCCGGGCTGTTCCCCCCAGTGGATGGTACAATAAATACAGGAGGAATGTTGATCAGCTTACACCGGAGCCAGGAGGTGCTCGGGATTTGATCGGCCGTGATGCTCGAGTAATGACCCACCGGTAGGCAGGCTGCACCTGCAATAACACACAAAGCAACACGCGGCCTGTCGCCTATAAATTAACGGGAATTATAAAACGGATTGTGGCCGTCCTCGCGGTTCTGCTGGGTTGGTTTTTACAAGTGTAACATATGTTTTTCTGTAGGCATTTACAAAATAAGTAGCTGGTGCTCAGATGAGATTGGCTGAGACAATTTGCAAGCTGTAAAAGGCGAACCAAAAAACACATTATTGCTTCCAACAAAAGTCACCATTCATGTTCGCTGACTGCTTTGTGTAGATACATGTCAATAATTCAGAACTATGGACCACAACTACATGTTTCAATTCTGAAGTCACTGCAGTGGCCTCTCCAGTGCGCTTTTACGCACACTCTCCCAGGCAGGCTGAAAAACTGCAAACACTCATCATGACAAACCACATTTAGCTGTTGCTCTTTAACCTACACACTAACAGAGGGTATAAAGCCATATGAATGCAGTTAATGAGTTAATGTGCTGCTGTCATGGCCGAGGGCGCTGGGCCACATTTTCTGTGCCAAAATGAACCTCTCTCTCTCTCTCTCTCTCCACACACACACACACACACACACACACACACACACACACACACACACACAGAACAGACCATTTTCATGATGCGACGACAAGCCAATATCATGATAAATTTAATTTGATGCTACTTTTGTCATTACATATTAATAAAACCATCAAGACATTTTTGGTGCCTTGACGCACAGGCGTGCGCTAATAAATCCAACATGTGTTGGACCATTATTAGGATTAATAAGTTATAACATTCTGCATCTGCCTCTTGTTTCTGTGGGCCCCGGAGCCCCGCTAGGCCCACTCTGTTTCAACAGGTTCAACGTTGTGTTCTCATTACGACCTCCATATGGCTGCCTGTGAACACAGCGAGCCATGGGGCATTTAGAGCAGGCAGCACAGTAACAATCAGTCCGTAAAGCGGCGGAGGTATTTGTTGTAAAAGTGAGACCAGTTGTGTTGTTTGAGGGGGGAAAAAGATCTTGAAGCAAGTGGTAGTTTGGTCAAGTGTTTATTTTCGTTTGCGCCTTATTCTGGCTGCAAACCTAAATTATGCGCATCACAAAATTACAGGTGAAATTCAACTTAACGTTAACAAAATACAGTGGGCTTTTCTATTTAGCCCCCCTCCCACCCCCCCCCCCTCACCCCTCTCTCTCTCCCTCTCCCTCTCTCTCTCTCTCTCCGGCACACATGGTTGGGAAAATCTGGGTTTCATTTTAATGGGGAGTAGCCTACCCCGGGCTCGCTTTACAACCTATGGATGTATTGGACGGTTTTCAGTTGGTTTGAGCTTCGGGCGCGGATGGGTGCAGTGGTTCACCTTCTCTCAGTTTCCCCTCTCTTTTGACTATGTGGCAGGGATTTTTCTTGTCTTTAAACATTTTAACGAGGCGAACGTGAGAAAGACGAGACACTTCTGCGTTTGGATAAGACGATTTCTGACGGAAGACAACCTAAAGACTAATTGGTGTGATTCTCTCTCAGGGGACGTCTTCTTCAATTCAGAGACAGCGACAGTCGCAACGTGATACTGGGGTAAGTTTATAATTTGCGGGTCACTGTGCCTGTTTATTACACACTCAGCGTGTTCCTGTTTTCTGTGGAGAGCAGATTTCAATTTTACGCACCACTTATTTCCTCAGACGAGAAGTAAGTGACTCACGGCGCTTGTTGTGACGGGCTGTCCATTACCTGCCATTTGTTTTAAATGAAGGCAATGACTATCATTACTTTATTAAAGGCTGAGGTCGTGTGACTGAAAGTGGGTGTTTGAGTCGCTGAATCACCGGGACGCGCTGGATCAGAGCGGCGGACACCGCAGACAGGTGTCAGCCTCCCCGGTTTACAACTGGCCCGTGGGTTGCAGCAAGAAAAAAAAAAGAGCAAGAAAAACAGCCCGTGCCGAGGATTTAATACGAGGTACAAGAGGTGGGCTATACGGAGCCAGTGAGCTTTAATAGCGACTTGGATTCAGAGCCAAGTGTGGATGCCAAAGCAAGCAGCGCGCTCCTCGGTTCCCGTCTTCCTCGGCACTGCCCTCGCCAAGTCTCCCAATGCGTTTGTCACTTCTAATATTTTCCTTTTTCGCTTTGACGCCACCGCATGCATAAAAACATTTGTGTGAAAAAAATACGAATGGCATATTTTTGTCTGCTGTTAATAGGGCACAATAACTTTGAAATACAGCGCCATGCAAAGTCGAGACAAATATGATTTTTCATGAAGACTGATCTGTAAAATAACTCAGGTTTAAAGGGAGAAGTAAGGTAGCTTAAAGCTGCGTCTTCTCTGAGGTTTATTGAGGATTAAAGCGATGATAGGCTTGATTTGACACTGAAGCCCATTGTGAGCAAGGTGTGACAGGAAACAATAGCTTTGACAATAATAATGAGCTCCACCCTCTGTAAGCTCATCTACTCTCCGCTCTCAAGCAGCAACAAGCCTGGAAGTGAAAGCGAGAGTCCCATACAGATTGCTTATCGTAACTGCTTCAATAGACTTAAAGTATGCCCCTATTTCACACTGAAACAGTGTCAGCCACTTGACCTACTTCTCACTCTCACCGCAAATGACTGGAATGGGTCCATGAAGAAGGCCTCTGAATCCTCACTGTTCACCGGGGTCAAAGAGAACGTGGAACATCAGGTTTAAGCTGGGAGAAATGTGAGAGATGAATGTGTCTAATGAGGTGAGGTGCTGTTCATCTGGAGCGCAGTCATCGCTTCCCTGTTTGTGCAAATTAATCATCATTATTTAATTGCATCACACCCTGCTTCCATGAGTAACAAAGTGAGGGAGGTACAGCCAGGAGCAGCTGAAGGCACATGATGTGGAAGCTAATCCAAAGCAACATAGTGCAGATTTTTTTTTCACTCCTGTGTGTGTGTGTGTGGGTGTGGGTGTGGGTGTGTGGTGTGTACTTGTATGTGGTATTTATGAACCCCAGAGAAAAGCGGGTGAACGGAGCTGGAGATGGAGAAAGCTGCAGGAACATGGGCAGATCATTTTCTCCTGCTTTGAAAAGCAGGATTCCTCAGGACTCTTGGCTCCGTCCACCTGAGCAAGTAAAGTCAACACATCTAATATATTTTTCTTCTACGGCTTCAGCAGCTTGACGGGGCAAAGTAATGCTAGATCTCTCTTTCTGTCAGTCCCCTTCTTCTCTGTTTTTGTTGGGTGTAACCATCCATCCCCTCCTCGAGTCAAGCATTTGTCATTTTTGAACAAATGATTCAAGCCGATTAGAAAAAAAAAAATCAGTGCAGCTGTCAATGAACTCAAATATCAGAATGATCGACTTTCATAATACAGCTGTTTCACAGCAGCTACCATATCAGGCTCTGGCACCTGATTACAAAGCAAATATACTGGTCTAAGTTTCCTTGAATGGAAGATTAATATTGTACTTTGACTCCATGTGGAATTTCACATGCAGAGATTTTGTTTTTTTCCCTCCTGGATCAGTTTCATCCCTGACATGAATTTCTTTTTGGACCTGGAGATGGATGTGGTGTGATAAAGCACCCACATCCCACACTAACATATTCACACAATCGTCCTCTCCGCTTTAGAGCTGAGAATGAAGTTGAAATGCTGTCTTATTACTGACTTAAGTGGCTGTGTGTTTTCTCGTTGAGTGAAAAATTGGGTGTGTGCGTGCTCACCTTTCCTGTTAAAATACCTGTCATTCGTCAACGTGACACCCAAGATGTCTCCCGCTGTGGGAAGAGGATACGGGGGCAGAGATTTCACATGCTTCATCCTGCCTCTCCCTACACCCTGCTAGGCCTGCATGTGTCAGCCACACATTTGCTCCAGATGCAGGGATATGTGTGTGTGTGTGTGTGTGTGTGTGTGAGGTCCACATGTGTGTGTCTGTGCCCACTTACTACCTATCAGTATGCTTATCAGACTTGGATGCACATAGTTGCTGTCCTCTGTCTTGATGGAGTTCTCAGGCATGATGGGCTAACAGATGATTTCTCCAAAGCAACTACTTTTATTTACTTTCTGTCTGTTGTTTACACATTGACAACGGACTGGGTGCATGTTTGGCTCCCCACAGTGCTATGACAACCATGTATCCTAGCTGCTACCTCATCTGCTCATCTCATCTTGATGACAGTTAGATAGCATTTATGTGAGCACACATAAATGCAGAGCAACACACTCTTAAAATAGCAGGCTGCTGCTCTTTGCTAGCATGCTAACCTGTGAGCGGAGAGTGTCCTCCCTAAAATGACAGCGTCAGTCGTGCCAGCAAGTGACAGATCCCTCTGGTGGTGTAAGATGACGTTTGTTATAGAGTGACAAAGTCTGCGTGAGGAGGTTGGTGTGGATGGATGGTTCAACAAAACATCGTTCTTCAACATGGAAGATTTCAGTTTGTTTTCCATTTCAAAACCACAGTCAACAAGTCAAGTAAAACCAAACCAGTTGTAGCCTACTAAAAAGGTGGCAACCATAACCTTAACGTTGTTCACGTTTATTATTGTAACCATGACGACGAAGGTCCCCTCACCTTAACAAAGTGGTTATTTGAACCCAAACCATGATCTTTCCCTAAACCTAACCGAACCTTAGCCACAGTTTTGTCACATAATAAAACAGATGCGCTAATGGCTTTGCTACAACGATAACACTGACAATAAATGATGAATGACATATTTGCTGTTTGATTTGGAAGACTTGTTGTTTTAATGTCAGTCAAGCCAAAAGACAGACATTCAGGTTCTTTCCCCTTTCTACTGGGAAACCCCTGACCTCTGACCTCTAGGCAGAGGTCGACCGGTGTGCGCTAACATCGCCTTCGAGAGAGAATGAGCCGAGGGGAGTAGGGAAGAGAGTAACAAGCGAAGAGGGGAAAGGGAGTTGTCTGATGAGTCACAAGCTTTGGCCTCCTTCACAGTGTGTCTTCATGCGTGAGTGAGGGCACATATTGTGAATCCAACTACTAGAGAGCATGTGTTTGTCCGTCAGCAATGAGTGTATTTAAGTGTAATCTACGCAACCGTGCGAGTATTCCAAGCACTTAATAAAATGATTTGTGTTTTTTTTTCCCCCTGCGAGTTCAAAGTGGGTCCTCGCTTTTGGCTGTGGGGTAGAGGTTGCTCTTGTGCAATGGAAAAAAACTGACCGTTTTCCTGTTTGGGGGGCTTTTTGGGAAAACCGCGGCTCTGCCTACCGCAGCCAGCCTTCAAAGGGCTTTGAAGGAGTGCTCACCTCTCCTCTCCTTAAATCCTTCCATCCCTCTAAACGAGCTACTTCCTCTCGTATCCAGGAACACCTCGCCTGCCTCTCCCCGACCACCACCAACCAACCACACTGCTGCAAAGCTGTGGTCAGGGTTATGCTCAGGTCCATGGGAAATGTTCAATCAAGGAGTCCTCACTCCACCCACATGTGCTGAAAACAGGACACTTTTGGAACTTTAACCTCTCAGCATTTTCTTGCATGTCTTTAGCATCTCTGTAACCCCGGCGCACGGCCTTCGTCCAGTAACAAACTTTGAGAAAGAAACTACAGCTCTGCCCGCCAGTGCAGGGCTGTGGGTGTCATCCCTTTCTCAGACGCATCTTGACAGCACATGTAGGGGAAATATTTCTTGTGTTTGAAAATGGATCACAGCTTGACATAGGAGGCTATAAATTTTTTGAACTCTTGTCCCTTCACTCCCAGGTCCATCGTTCTGTCAGTTAAAAATCCAAGTCAAAGCACAACTTTGTCCTCCCTCGCTCTCGAGTTCACAACTACATCTTTCTTTTTTGAAATAGTTATTTGGGACTGAGGCCTTGTGGGACCTCCTCAGTAGTTTGAAACCCCTGCCCCTGCTTTGATTTTAGCAAAGATGCCACTGTTCGGTAGCACACAATGAGTTTGTTATTTTCAGCACCAGATTTTATGTTAAAACAGGAAAGAAAAAAAAAACATATACAGAAAAATCTTGGTGAATATCATTCATTCACCTCATTGTTGAACTGTTCATTGTCTTTTAATTTACTTCATCTATCTTCTATAAACCGCAGTGAACAGTTTGTAATTGCAGAAAACACAAAACACAAAAATGTTGTGATGTGTGTTGGTGCATGCAACAAAGAGCCCCTCTTATTCTACAGTTCTGTGTTTTTGCCTGATCCGTTTCTCACAAATTAACCCTGTTTAACCCCGAGTCTAGTGAGTCACTGTTGCCCAGAACTTTCTGCCTGCTCATGTCCTCTCCCCTCCCTACACCTCCCATTTTCTCACCGAAAACACTGATCTCACAGAACATTTCATTAACAGAAAAATACACCACAACTTGTCCTATCAGCATTTTTTCCTCTGCTTTTCTACTAAACTGTATATGTGCATAAATACAGAGAGTTGTAGCTCAGCACAACTTCCTGTCTGTGATTCTATGAGAACCAGCCTGACCTCATATTCCACCTCGCGCTGTCTGTCTCCTCTCCTCCTGTTCGGTTCTGGATCAGGTTCTGTTGATCTAGAGAACCGCCGTCGGACCCTGGGCCAGCCGTGTGGGCTGGGCCACAGAAGCT